TCAGTCCGGCTTCGACCATTAAATAGTCAAAAATATGTGTGACTAGTTGATGGTCTAAGTATTACCGAAACGTCCATGTGCGAGTTATTTGTGTATTGTTCCGGTCACAGCACTTTATTGTGCCTCTCTTTACAATATACAATATAGGAATCAATAGAAAGATCACATATATTAGCTTTGTTTCTCTGTGTTCCCCCTCGTCGGTTTATATAATAATAAAGAATAAAAAATCTTGGTTAAGAAAGCTATTATTTTGCATGGAAAAGTTTGTTTCAAGGGTCAACGCCCCACGCGGCTAGGTCCATGGTAAGGCTTAGCAGTTAAATCTTTCGAAATCGAAATTTTGGAAGAACTGAGATAATTTTAGGCTATCTTCCTTAACCATAGCGGTGGACGAAGCCACCACTTTGAGAACCAAAGCCAGATTCACCGCAAAATTACTTTACACCGCCACTAAATCCGTGGGAACACCAAATCCACCATTGCCACTGCCAAATCCGCCGCCAATCCTGCCATGGAATCAACGAGATTCACCACCAGTCCCGCCATGGGAGCCTCCAAATCCGCCCATACCTCCACCAGATGTCTCCAATACCATGGGAGACACGAAATCTACCACCGCAAAATTCTCCACGTCCTCCAGTTCGTACTTCAGAGAATCCTCCAATGGATCCACCAGGGAATTCTCCACCAAATCTACCGTCTCTAACGTGTCCTCCTCCAAAGACGTCGCCGCCACAGCCTTCAATGAAGCCTCGGTTTACCCTGAAGGATCTCTCCAGGAAGGCAGCACTAACGGTTTATTATATTCTTGTATATTATAAAAACATATATACAATAGACAATCTTATTAACCACGAAATATATATGAAATATTAAAAGGGAGACACCGACCATTGTTGTTACAGGAAGATGGCAGTCCCAGTCTGTGCTGTCTGATAAGTGTTTTCTCATGCGGGTCTTAAGTCATATGATGACCCGCAACTGAAGCTTTTAGTTATATGACCGAGGCCTTCCGCTGGCTTACCGGTCCACCCTTTTAAAAATTATTGTTACGAGTATAACCATCAGATTCTCTTCTTGTCATTTTATATGCACTCTAGCTGTCTTCCTGGACTTAGTATATATCACAGCTTTTCTGTTTCATGACCATAAAGCTCGAGATCATTACCCACTACTCCCAACACAAAACAACAGTCACCACAATACCTATTAATCTCTCTCTCTCTCTCTCTCTCTCTCTCTCTCTCTCTCTCTCTCTCTCTCTCTCTCTCTCTCTCTGTTTCCACATGCATACACAAATGGTAAATTGAGAGAACGGGCCAGGAACCGAGACTTGTCCCCAGCAACCACACATAGATGAGTACATAGCTGAGTATACACAGGAGGTTGGCGGATGTAACTTTTTCGGGTTACCCACCGAGGTAGGGTAACCCGAAAAATAGGAAACACTTTCACTCATTCATTTAATCATTGTCTCGACTGAAACATGCTAACAACTTAGATGGCTCTCCGAACTGCAACATCCCCCACTCCTCCAGGCATTGCACTTCCCACCTCCAGGACTAAAATTCAGCTATCCAGTTTCCCTAAATATTTTCATAGATATCACCTTGTCTCCATTCCAACAGCACGTCAAGTTATAAAAATAACTTGCCTCCATTCCAACAGCACGTCAAGTTATAAAAATAACTTGCCTCCATTCCTACGTAATGAGTTGACACAAGCCTGCTGGATGTCAAAGCTCCCTAGCACTCAAAACTTAATTTACGACTCCCTCCAACCTATCAAGGGATGATCGCTACCCCTCCTTTCCTCCACCCTATTTTTTTTACCATTCCCTGGCTCGGTTGGCAGCGCAATCAGCTCACATACTGAGTGTCTGTGGTTCGATCCCCGAATGGGTGGAAACGCTGAGTATGTTTCCTTACACCTACTGCCCCTGTTCACCTAGAAGTAGGTACCTGGACGTTAGTCAAGTATTGTGGGTCGCATCCTGGCGGGTGGTAGCATACCTAACAGAGGGTTGCGTTTTGAAAATTGAGGCTCATAGTCCGTAAAACTGATTTATGAAAAATAAAACACCTCAGCAAGGTTTCATCAGCCCTCTGAATATTCTTGGTAATCTCACATAATCTCTATGCTTCGAATTTTCTGCCTAACATTCACGTTACTCTTAGGCTTCTTAATGATAAGAAAGCTGAAATGATAAATAACACACTATAACCGATGATAAACAGTCACACGTACACCCACACAGCCACGCATGAGCGCATGGACAAACACAAACACACACACACACACACACACACACACACACACACACACACACACACACACACACAGTAACCTTAACCTAAGTGACCAGACGCCGTGCGCATCATCCACTGACCTGGTTATCCACTTCCTCGAGAGGATCATACTGAGCAAACTTCTATACTGTACTTCTTTGTACAGCTGGAATTAAATTCATGTTCATAGTTTTTCTCTACTGCAGATAGGTTTGTTAATTCCAATATTTGACAACCTGTCGTCTACAAGAGTGAAACTTTTTCCGATAACAGTAACAGAGAAAAATCGCCAACACAACAGAAACAGACAGCTCACCATTTTCTGTTTATTACATCACAATGAGCTGCTCACAGAATCACAATAGGTAGCACAGGTGAACAAATAACTTCACAAGATATGGTTTATCACCAATAAACTGTGTTTTAATATATACGTTAATTTCATTCTTGGGAAGAGTTATTCTAATAGAAACTTGACAGGAATAATTGATTGTAACACTTATAACTGCCTAAGTATAGGGTCTCAGAGGCAACTGTGCATTTGAATAGTATAAAGACGCGTCTTTTAAACAACATTCCACAAAATAAATGATATAACTTTCCAGTCTATATGATCCAGAGCTTGCATCTAACCAATGTTGGGCCTATTGTGATAAATGGTTTGAAAACCGACAAGTTGAAGATTGAGACACTTATGCAACGTATGGGAATCTTTACTGAAGAAACGTTTCGCCACACAGTGGCTTCATCAGTCCAATACAAGGTAGAGATGAGTAAGGAGAGGTGGAGTTTGAGATAATCAGTCCCTCAGCCTGAAACCGATGTGTTCAGCCTGATGTTTTACTCTGGATACACACACGGAAAACGATACCAGATATTTATTAAGATCCTGAAGACCTACTGTGCATTTGAGCTCCTCTGTCATATCCCTCAGTTACTGCCTACTATAGAGAACAGTATTATTTTCGAGTAGAATTTATAACGCTAAATGATTAAAAATACAAACCATATGGAATAATGTTATTTAAGATATTTGGAGAACAATGCATGGAACGAAGAACCACAGGTTTCACACTAGTTTTAAGTATGATTAGCAACGCAATAATAGCATCGAATAAATTGAACGTCTACTTATTTCACCAAGATAAATAATTCAATCATGTAAAATCAACATAAATACATTAGAAATATGACTCGCCTCACCGTTAGAAAAGATCTGCTAACGACCGAACCAGTAATCACTAATAACAGGTGTGAATACCTGATCTAAATCCGGAAAAAATATTTTTAGGGGGCTTCCCATAGTGAGTAATAGAGGCAGAATTTGATGAGTAAAATTTGCGCAACATTTAGGTTTCTTTATTGCTGAAATGTTTCGCCTACGTGGTAGGCTTCTTTAGTCAAATACAGAGGAGAAACGTTTTAACAGTAAACATACCCAACTGTTGCACGTTTCTAACTCGTTGTTAGGTATTGTATACCATTTTGATGTTCACGTTTCTAACTCGTCAACTTGTAGGGATTTTATACCATTCTCAGCGTACAGAGGTTCAAATATTGACCTACATGAACTTTATAACTAGTTCAGTTATTCCTTCGAAGGTATGTATTCGTTTCACTTAGATTTTGAGTATGGAGTCCAGAACATATTTATTTCCTTTCCCATATTCTCGTATGGGCCAGTAGGCCTTCTGCAGTGTTCCTACATTCTTATGTTCTTATGTTAATATTTATAGTACGTGTATCTCTGGTTGTCTTAACAACACGGGATTTTTCAGAGCATTTATTCACGTGGGGAGAAATACTCTTAGTAGCATGGTAATAATTAACTGTAATCGACTTACATATTCCTTATGTCATTGCGTAAATTAATCTACATTATTAAAACTCACAAATTACTTAAAACACTGGAGACACAATTTACGTATTTTTTATCTACAAAAAAAAATGGAAGTAAAATTTCGACAACATGAGAAGATCTAAGAACATTTCATACAGTATAAGAATTGCATGGCAGGATCCCAATCTATCTCATGACCAGAATCCCAAAGGTAAAAAAACATTATGTCGTTGCTGTCCTCCTCCAGTCTAATAGGTTTCCATATAGCCTAATAAAAAATTATGTCACTGTACTCGTAACTACACTAATATCACCAGCAGGAGTGTTTATTGTTGAATACAGCGCCTACAGACTCGTGATTCATATAGGATGGAGTCCACCTCTGGTGCAAATTGTAGGACCCGTAGCCTCGGAGTGGATAAAAAATGTTTCGAGGAAAATAATATATATATATATATATATATATATATATATATATATATATATATATATATATATATATATATATATATATATATATATATATATATATATATATGCAATAAGATCATCACAGTAAACAGGTGATCTGATAGTGAGGTGCTGGCCGGACCCCTTATATAGCTTCCTTGGATGCTTCACTTTCATAGTTCCTTGATAATGTGAGTAGTCACGAAAGCGCTTGGAATTTCTCTATTCTTTCAGAGTGGTTGTTTTGCATATATATATATATATATATATATATATATATATATATATATATATATATAATATATATATATATATATATATATATAATGTATAGAGAGGAGAGAGAGAAGGAGAGAGAGAGAAGAGAGAGAGAGAGAGAGAGAGAAATAATTTCTGGTAATAATTTCTGGTAAAGATGACAATTATTTGGAATGAAAAATTTATTCGAGTTGCACCAATTAGGTACAGAATCAGGAATCAGACATTAGACACAGTGGTCAAAATTTCCGTTACCAAAACTGTTGAGGAAAGATAAATTTGGTGTTCTCTTAACCATAGCGGCGGCCGAAGCCTCCACCATGAGATCCAAAGCCAGATCCACCACCAAATCCGCCTCCAATTCCACCATGAGATCCCCCAAATCCTCCACCGCCAAATCCGCCACCAATCCCACCATGAGAGCCTCCAAATCCACCGCCGATCCCTCCAAGGGATCCACCGAATCCACCACCGCCGAATCCTCCACGTTGTCCATATCGACCACCAGAGAATCCTCCAATGGAACCTCCAGAGAAGCCGCCACCGCCAAATCCACCGCCTCCAATGTGTCCTCCGCCAAACCCGCCACCACCATGGCCTCCAAATCCACCGCCTCCAATGTGTCCTCCGCCAAACCCGCCACTACCATGGCCTCCAAATCCACCGCCTCCAATATGTCCTCCGCCAAACCCGCCGCCGCCGCCTCCAATGTGACCTCCGTTCACCCTGGAGGATCCCACCAGAAGAACAGCACTAATGGTCACCAGAAACAGTTTCTGTGTAAAAGAAAAAAATTACGAGTCATATTAACACTTTTTTTCAAGTTCCATTAAGTACCTGTGGGACATATATCCTATAAAAGCAATTGTGTTAACCATACAAGTTCTGTGAAATATTTTAAGGGACAGACCATGTTTGCGGAAGGAAGGTAGCAGTCCCAGACTGTTGCTGGCTTCTCGTCACAGCGTTATATACTGGTCAGCTGCCTTCCTGGCCTTGCATGTGGGTACGTCACAGCTTTCCTATTTCCTGACCATGAACCTGCAGATCATCAATCATCACTTGTGTATTTCAGCTTCCTTAATAAGGGACAACACAAAACAAATGTAAGATAATGTATTAATTTTCTCTCTCTCTCTAACGCATATACCCACCGTCACACGAATCACAATATTCAGAGATTTTGTAGACGAGAGCGTTCACACACACACTCAATGTTGGTGGATTTAACTTTACTATACATCGAGAGCATCATTCACTGACCTATGTCAATGTTTTCTTCTTGCTTCTGCAGTGTTGCGCTGAGAAAAAAAAATTTCTAGACTTATAAAACACTCGGAAAACATATTTTAAACTTTAGTGTATTTGGAAAATTTCTAGTTTTACAGGTAAGATTTATTTTGAATAATTTGGTTGGAGAATTCACATTTCGTAAAAAAAAATGATTCCAATGAATTTTTATCATTTAGAAAACAAGGTAAGAAAATTCGTATTTCGTAATGACGAATTTTATATCGTACAATGCTTCTCCTGTACTAAAAAAAAAAACCATACCACGGGCGGGATTTGAACCCGCGGTCTGTATGCAATAATGTCATCACGATTTCCTGAGTCCTCCTGTACTATTTATAATTTCAAGACAATCTGAAACTTCATTCTCAAATACTGGCGAAGATTGCAACGAACTGACAATAAACATGCCACACAGCGCGTTAGGAATGAGGTGAAATGCGAGACATGCATTGTGTTCATTGTTCCAGTCATTCTGAGACCTTGTCAGTGACTGTTTTATGGAGCTAACTTTTAAAGCGTTTCCTATATGTTAGTTAAAACAGGATATAAAGGGAAATTCATTTTTATCTCACGTACATGGCTATAGAAAGTCCCTTCGCTAGGAAAATGGGTCAGGGAAACCCACAAGGCTAAGGACCGCAAAAAGGGGTACGAGTATAATTTGGAAACCATTAAAAAGCGTCTCTTGACATTCAATCGTATCGTTAACAAAGATTCGAGTGAACAAACTATTACCATCAAAACAAACCATTAATCTACTTGGGAGATTCACAGTGTTTTATTTATGTGGGTTTTAACAGGTATGAATTAGATAATGATTTTAAATATAGGAAAAAGACAGAGCTAGCACGAGGAAAGGTTGGGGAAAAAAACACTTCCTCTTAGTGAAAATTTCAGGTTGAAAAAAAAGTTAATTATGCATTGGGGGGGGGGGGAGGTGCCATTCAAAAAGGGAAATCTTGGCAGATGGGAATTACATTTGTTTAGTAAATCAGGAAAATCAAGCACTAATTTCTTGAGTTTAACCTTTTAGGTATCCTGCGTCCCTGGGATCACCATCCACCACGTATGTTTATTTCACCATTTTTTAGAATAAAAAACACAGGACTCCCGATAATACACAGATATATGGATCCCTCCCACGCGCGCACTTCCAAACACTCACACACACACACACTCGGGGCCAGGAGCTATGACTCAACCCCTGCAACCACAATTAGATGAGTACACATACGGAGCTTTAGGGACTAACCTGAGCCATCAGACCACCGTGTGTAACATACATTCAGCTTCATCGACAGAATCTTGCCGAGGAAATTTATTTCTATGCTTCTTTAAATAGCTTAAAATTTATTGCACAGATTATTTGTAAGATTTAGGTAATCTTCAGCAAATCTACATATTATTAAATCAGATCTGCATTTTATCCATCTGTATAAAAAGTGCAATAAAAATTTGACAACAATAATGAACTAACATTAAGAGCAACCTAAATTTAGGCACTAACACGTAAATGTGTTACATTTACGGGTCACATCTACTTTTTTATGTTATACAGAAGCACCTTTTAAATCTGCATCGCTAATTAAATACATGTCAAATCTATATAGACCCGGGTACATATGAAACAATGTAAGCCATCTTGTTGTATAAGAACAGATTCAAGTATATTGTATTCAATGACTCACGAAATCGTAATAACGCGATTGTAAACAAATTGGCCAAGAGTTTTACGACTCACTAGCCGTGGGTTCAAATCCCACCCGTACCGTAGTTTGCATTCAATATGTGAATAGCAAAGTATTAATAATTTGGCAAGGTTACAAATATCATCTCAAGACTTTCATCTAATGTCTCGATCCACCAGAAGGTTTTCTTATGAATCAATATACACCTAGATTCTATTTACTCTCACTTAAAATAATCCTTGGACAACAAAAGACAAGTGAACAATATTGTTTCTATATTAATGACTCATCAGGAGTGTGTGTTTATATCAGTGAATTTATACACACACATGTAGAAGTAGATAAGGGGCATTATGTGAGCAAATATTTGACCTTATTTACTATGTACGAGAAACAGATTAATATACATACCAGCTTTATTATTAGCTTTTCTTTCTGTTACTTAATTATTGCATTTATAAACATTTTTCTCAGGCTAAAGAAGGCTCCAAGTTACGACCTTAGGGACAACGTTCATAATATAAATGTATGTAAATATTTTGCTTGCTCTGCAAATTACAAGCAGTCTATTTCTGGAGGGTCAGTGCATGCAGAAGATGCGAACACCTTACCACCAACCAATTAGGCACTTGCTCTGGAGCAAGATTTAACCTCGTTTCAAGTTAAGTAACGTCGGTATTGAACACCGGCTGCCAGGCTGAGGGACTGATCACCAGGTTTTGCACACCGTTCTGTGTAGAGTTCTGAAAGGCTGAGGGACTGATCATCATACCATCTACTATTTTTCTATGTCATCACTGTACTGAACTGTGGAAATCTTACTATGTGTAAGTGCTATGCCAAGTTCTTCATAAAGAAAACAAAGAAATTGTGACAGCTATCTGCATGACTTTTCTCATTCGCCAAAAAAAAAGGGAAGCGTCGTTTTGATTTTATTTCAATATTAATTGGTAAAATAAAGGTATATTTTTACATGAAAAATTTATTTGTGCATAAATAAGGTACAGAATCAGTAATCAGACAAACATAGCAGTTAAATGTTTATCAAAACTGGTGAAGAACTGGCATAAATTTAAGATGTTTTCCTTAACCATAGCTGCGGCCGAAGCTCCCGCCGTGAGAGCCAAAACCAGATCCACCACCAAACCCGCCACGGGAGCCTACAAATCCGCCCTTACCCCCACCAAATCCGCCGCTAAACCCGCCAAGGGATCCACCAAATCCACCGCCGCCAAATCCACCACGTCCTCCATATCGTCCTCCAGAGAATCCTCCGCCAATTCTGCCGCCGCCAAATCCTCCGCCAATCCCGCCATGGGAGCCTCCAAATCCGCCCTTACCCCCACCAAATCCGCCAAGTGAGCCACCAAATCCACCGCCGCCAAATCCTCCACGTCCTCCATATCGTCCTCCAGAGAATCCTCCGCCAATCCCTCCGCCGCCAAATCCTCCACCTATACCGCCATGGGAGCCTCGAAATCCGCCGAGGGATCCACCAAATCCACCGTGGGATCCACTAAATCCACCACCGCCGAATCCTCCACGTCCTCCATATTGGCCTCCAGAGAAACCACCACCGCCGAAGCCACCGCCTCCAGTGTGTCCTCCGCTAAAGCCGCCGCCTCCGCCTCCGCCTCCAATGTGACCTCCGTTCACCCTGGAGGATCCCACCAGGAGAGCAGCACTAATGGTCACCAGCAACAGTTTCTGAGTAAGAGAAAGAAATTTAAACGAGCAATACTAACAACTTTTTCTAGATCTATTAAATCGTTGCATAGCATAAAATATAAGAACACATTTTGATCCTGTTAGATACTTGAAATATGTGGTGGAGACTGACCATGGTTGCTATAGGAAGGCAGCAGTACTGAACTGTACTGTTGCTGGTTTCTTGTCACCGCGTTATATAGTATTCAGCTGCCTTCCTGACCTTGCTCATAGTGCTTGTCACCGCTTTCCTATTTCATGACCATAAACCTGGTGCACATCAAACACCACTTGTGTAGTTCTGCTTCCCTGATAATGTCTGTTATGTCTCTGTCTCCATCTTTCTTTCCCCCTCCCCCTCTCTCTCTCAACTTCAATCACCCAAACCCCCCTTCACACACACACACACACACACAACACACACACACACACACACACACACACACACACACACACACACACACACTTACGCAATCTGAGAATCAACCATCGCAACCACAAATAGGCGAATATATGTTAACATACACACACACAAGGCTAGTGGCTTTAATTTGACCAAACACAAAGAACATAATCCACGCTCATATGCTCACGCTTTCTTCCTGTTTTCATAGAATTTTCTGAATATCTTATGGATGGGTAATTAGCGTTTTAGCAATAGATAAAAACATTAAGAATTTATATCATATTGATTGGAAATTTACATTTCATGAATATTTCAGAGGAATTTTTATTTGTTATTTGACATAATTCAATGGAGCTACGGACCGTCTTGAGATGTACAGAAAAATCGGGGTACCATTCAAAAAAAAAAAAAAATTGTTCTCACATTTATATTGTTAAAAAACGATTAGAGTGAATAAATTATTAGTATCAAACCACTAATTTATTTTGAAGGTTCCCATTTCTTTATTTCACAAATATCATGTGGTTTTAATTGGTGCGAATTCATAAACGATCCTTAATATTGCTGAAATTTGTGGAAATTTCAGGTTCTTATGGGAAGTTATTTTATGCGTTTACGAGAGCCCAGAGAAAGAGATAAATCTGGATAGATGGGAGTTTAATTTGTTTAGTAAATCGGGAAAATCAAGAAATAACTTTTAGAGTTAAGCGTTTTAAATATTTTGAGGATAACCTTTCACCCCCGTTTTTTTCAGGTTTATTAATGATAAATAAAAACATGCGACTCCAAATAATACACACAGACATATTCACGCCTATCCACGACCGCCTGCACACACACACGGCGCGCGAGCACTAACACACACGCAAACACACAAGCAAACACACACGCAAACACACACGCAAACACACAAGCAAACACACACGCAAACACACACATACACACACACACGCAAACACACACACACACATATGGAACGTTACTAACAACCTTTGCAACCAGATGCCATATGCAGCACCCATTCAACTGCTCTCCATATCTTACCACGAAAGGATTTTCTAAGTAAACTTATTCTTATGCATCTTTGAAAATCCGAAAATTTATTTACGTCTTCTGCTTCTTTGAATAGTTCATTGGTTGGTTACTTAGGGGTAAAGCCAACTGATAAGTTTAGAAAACAATAAACATCTCAGTACAGTCTCTCAATTACATCACAAGAATTTATTCACTGTAGGTACTGCAATTGTTTTGGTAATGTTTAGTTAATCACTAACACAATACAGATCAAATCAGTTCTGCATTGTACCACTCTGAAGAGGAAAAGTGTGATAATAACCTGAGAGCAATACTGTTTGGTAACATTTAGAGTAACCTAATTTTTGACACTGTCAAGTAAATGTGTAAGATTTATTACACGAGTCACAACCTGTTTCTTCTATTATAAAGGTGCATCTTTTAAACAATAGATTGCACCACTAATAAAATTAGTATTAAGTCGATTTAACCCACGACACACATTTAAAGATGAATAGTTCCAAGAATATTTATTGCATTCAGTATGTGAACTACATGTTATTAATTAATTGATATGGTCCTAAGCTATCACATAACCGGTGTCTGTCATGTGTAAACACAAGGCGTTTGTGTCCTGTCCCGAACTATCAGGTTTTCTTAGGGAAACCTGGATGTGCAACTAGATTTTTTGTTCTCTTAAATTTATCTGAGGACACGAAGGGAAAGGGAGTAAGTTCGTATTTATACTAACCGCTCTATCAGAGAGTTGAATGAAAGCAGGAGCTTGCAGTGCTGCAGTAAGAAATAAGGAATTCCAAGCAAATTTGTTCAGAGGAAGCGTCATTGCAATATGTGTATATATATATATATATATATATATATATATATATATATATATATATATATATATATATATATATATATATATTCCAGTAATAGAAATAACACAAATATTATAGTTCAAATTGAGACACTCAGGCTCTGCTAAGCGTGAGAGGAAGCTTTTATAAGAATAATTTTTGTCACGGTGGGAACATGGAATATTCTAAGTGCAAGAATCAAACTGTCTTCCGAAGTTTCATTTTCACAAATGTCTTGATAGTATTCCAACAGCAAAAGCCGATGATTAAATCGTTGAGAGAATTTTATTTGCAGATTTAACTTCGATTTAAGCTCCCAAGCTAAGGGACTGATCACTTCATTTTTCACTGTCTACTGTATATAGTTCAGCAAGGCTGAGGGACTGATCACCTCACCTACTGTCTTTGTATGACATCAGTGCTTTAAAATGTTGGCAAAACATGTGCAAACAAAATAATCAGGTGTTGCTCGTTTATTGTTCCTTATCTAACCTGCATTGTACACCATTATTGCAATGATTTTTATATCTGTAGTTGACTATATTCATTTGGCTACGATAGGTTAATGATGTATTTGCAGTCCTTCCGTCATGTACAATGTACTGCGGTTGTTAGACCATCTCAATTCCCCGAGTCGATTTATCAAGTCGAAATTTGAAAATCAAGAAATTAGACCACTTTCATTTTTGGACATTAAATATGCAGAAGTATTAGAAATACGGCAAGTTTTTTAAGTATAAATAAAACCAACACATTTGGACGCCTTTTTTACTCTTTCGACACAAAATAAGGTCTCATTTTGGTTTTATTTCAATATTAACATCTTGGCGAAATAAAGATATAATTTTTTGTATGGAAAAATTTATTTGTGGTGCATAAATAAAGTACAGAATCAGTAATTAGACATTAGGTACAGCAGTCAAAATTTCGTTTTCAGAACTGTTGAAGAACTGGGATAAATTTAGGTTTTTCCTTAACCGTAGCTGCGGCCGAAGCTCCCGCCGTGAGAACCAAAACCAGATCCACCACCAAACCCGCCATGGGAGCCTCCAAATCCTCCGCCAAACCCTCCGAGGGAGCCACCAAATCCACCACCGCCAAATCCTCCGCGTCCTCCATATCGGCCTCCGGAGAAGCCACCACCGCCAAATCCGCCGCCTCCAATGTGGCCTCCGCCAAACCCGCCACCACCATGGCCTCCAAATCCACCACCGCCAAATCCTCCACGTCCTCCATATCGGCCTCCGGAGAAGCCACCACCGCCAAACCCGCCACCACCATGGCCTCCAAATCCACCACCGCCAAATCCTCCACGTCCTCCATATCGGCCTCCGGAGAAGCTACCACCGCCAAATCCGCCGCCTCCAATGTGTCCTCCGCCAAAGCCGCCGCCGCCTCCAATGTGACCTCCGTTCACATTGGAGGATCCCACCAGGAGAGCAGCACTAATGGTCACCAGCAACAGTTTCTGAATAAAAGAGAGAACTTTCACGATCAATATTGACAATTTTTTTTCTAGATCTATAAAGCCGTTGTATAATATAAAACATAAGAACACTCTTTTTAATCCTGTAAGATATTGGAAATATGTGAGAGAGACTGACCATGGTTATAGGAAGGCAGCAGTCCTGAACTGTACTGTTGCTGGTTTCTCGTCACCGCGTTATATACTGTTCAGCTGCCTTCCTGACCTTGCTCATAGTGCTTGTCACCGCTTTCCTATACCATAACCATGAACCTGGTGCACATCATCCAGCGCTTGCGTAGTTCAGCTTCCTTAATGATAAGAGACACAAGACAACTGTCAGAATACCTATTCTTTCTGTCTCTATCTCCATGTTTCACCCCCTCTTTCTCTCTCTCTCTCTCTCTTCTCTCTCTCTCTCTCTCTCCTCTCTCTCCTCTCTCTCCTCCTCTCTCTTCTCAGCAACATTTTACACACACACACACACACAGTGAGGCAACAACGAGTCATGGTACGTGATGAGGTATCACAGTGGGCGCCTGTGACGAGAGGCGTCCCACAGGGGTCAGTCCTAGGACCAGTGCTATTTTTTATATATGTGAATGACATGATGGAAGAGATAGACTCCGAAGTCTCCCTGTTCGCAGGTGATGCGAAGTTAATGAGAAGGATTAAATCAGATGAGGATCAGGCAGGACTACAAAGAGACCTGGACAGGCTGTACACGTGGTCCAGCAACTGGCTTCTAGAATTCAACCCTGCTAAATGCAAAGTCATGAAGGTTGGGGAAGGGCAAAGAAGACCCAGACAGAGTATAGGCTAGGTGGACAAAGGCTGCAAACCTCACTCACGGAGAAAGATCTTGGGGTGAACGTAACACCGAGCACATCTCCAGAGGCACACATCAACCAGAAAACTGCTGCAGCATATGGGCGCCTGGCGAACCTGAGAACAGCGTTCCGATACCTTAGTAAGGAATCGTTCAAGACATTGTACACTGTGTACGTCAGGCCCATACTGGAGTATGCAGCACCAGTTTGGAACCCACACCTGGTCAAGCACGTCAAGAAATTAGAGAAAGTACAAAGGTTTGCAACAAGGCTAGTTCCGGAGCTCAAGGAAATGTCCTACGAAGAAAGGTTGAGGAAAATCAGACTAACGACACTGGAGGACAGAAGGGTCGGGGGAGACATGGTAACAACATACAAAATACTGTTCCAGAGAGGGGACAAAGAAACAATGGGTCAGAGTTGGAAGTTGACTACTTAGACACGTCAGAGGGATGCTATTAAGTATATCTTTAGTCACAGAGTTGTCAGGAAGTGAAATAGCCTAGCAAGTGATGTAGTGGAGGCAGGAACCATGCATAGCTTTAAAACGAGGCATGACAAAGCTGAGGAAGCAGAGAGAGAGGAACTAGTAGCGATCAGTGAAGAGGCGGGGCCAGGAGCTGAGTTTCGACCCCTGCAACCACAAACAGGTGAGTACAATTAGGTGAGTACACACACACACACACACACACGCTTTGACTTGACTCCTGCAAACACAAACAGGTGAACATGGAACGTTAGTGACATAACCTGAGGGACCAGACGCCACTTCCAACATCCATTCTCCTGGCTGTCCATTTGTTCCAACGATAACATTTTTCTTAGCAAACATTTCTATGATTCTTTAAACATCAGAAAATTTATTTCTATTTCTTTGATAAGATAAGGAAAAGCTTCCCCAGTAAATACCGAGAGAAATAACAGCGAAAAGTAGCGGAAACGACAGACACCTCAACATATTCTCTCAGTAACATAAGAATTTGCTCACGACACAATTGCTGGTAGAACAAGCGCTCAATTGGCTTGGTAATTTCTAGTTTATCACTAACTAAAATGCAGACCAAGTCAGTTCTACATTGTATCACTCTGAAGGAAGAAAAGTGGAATAAAATCTTGATAGCAATAATGGATTGCAACATTTAGATCAACCTAATCTTAGACACTGTCAAGTAAATGTGTTGGATTTATTACACGGGTCACATCTTGTTTTTCTTTATAGACTGCACCACTAACAAAATAGTTATTAAGTCCATTTAACTCAGGACACGTATTTAAACAAGTATAAAGAATATTAATTACATTCAATGTATATATTGCATGAGAATAATTATATGGTATGATCCGAAGCAATCTTATCACCGGTGTCATGTGTAACAAGGTGTTGGTGTCCTGTCATGACCTACCAGGTTTCCTCATGAAGCCATGGATAAGGAAATAGATTTTTTTTTACTCTCGCTTATATTTATCTTTGGATATGAAGGGGAAGGAAATAAGTTCGTATTTATACTAATGACTATCAGGATTGTTATCTTCGGTGAATTTACACAAACACATAAGTAAATATGGAGTATTATATAAACACATACTCGATCTTATTAATAATAAACAATATATTGATCAATATACAGACCAGCTACATTCTCAGCATACATATATATATATATATATATATATATTATATATATATATATATATATATATATATATATATTATATATATATATATATGTCGTGCCGAATATGTAAAACTGATCAATTAGTAAGAACTCATTTAAAATTAAGTCCTTTCTAAAATTTTCTCTTATACGTTTAAAGATATATTTTTTCATTAATGTTAATGTAAAAAATTTTAATTTTACTCCAAAAGAATCTTAGAAAACTTACCTAACCTTATAATAAAAACAATTTATTTTAGCCTAACCCAACTAAATATATTTTAGATTTGTTTACAATAATTTAATACTAAACAAACACAGTGAAATATATTTTTTTCGTTAGGTTCAGAGTGATTTTGGCGAAATTATTGCATACACAAATTTTCGCTTGTCCTATATGGCAAGATGAGCGTTGCTATTTAAGCCAAGATCGCAAGTTCTGCCTATTCGGCACGACATATATATAATTTATATATCTGACCTTGAACCACACGGGTTTGAACTGGGTCAGTCCCCACATAAGCATTTTTTTTTTTCATAAATATATTGCAAAACTTTTTGGAGATATGGGAAGTAAAAGGTTATACCCAAATTTTTGATTGCTTGCGGAGGGGGGATGGGTCGGCGCCCCAAACTCCCGCGCTGCTCAAGGGTCAACTGTGCGAATATATATCCTAGGTAGTAGGTTGGTAGACATCAACCACCCAGGGAGGTACTACCGTCCTGCCAAGTGAGTGTAAAACGAAAACCTGTAATTGTTTTACATGATGATGGGATTGCTGGTGTCTTGTTTCTGTCTCATAAACAGTCGAGATAACAGTTATATTTTGCTACTTCTATTTACACTTAGGTCACACTACACATGCAAGTACACACATATATATGCACATGTATATGCAAAATATATACAAAATACTGCGTGGAATAGACAAGGTGGACAGAGACAAGATGTTCTAGAGAGGGGACACAGAAACAAGGGGTCACAATTGGAAGTTGAAGACTCAGATGAGTCAAAGGGATGTTAGGAAGTATATCTTCAGTCATAGACAAGTGGAATAGCCTAGCAAGTGAGGTAGTGGAGGCAGGAACCATACATAGCTTTAAGATGAGGTATGATAAAGCTTATGGAGCAGGGAGTGAGGGGATCTAGTAGCACTCAGTGAAGAGGCGGGGCCAGGAGCCGAGTCTCGACCCCCTGCAACCACAATTAGGTGAATACCCCCATCTGAGTTTCTTATTTTCTGCATTGCACCTTGTCTTCTTTATTTCCTCCTTTCTCCACAGGGAAGTGGAAAAGAATTCTTCCTCCGTAAGCCATGAGCTTAAATACCATGACCAAAAGGGCTAGTAACCCATCTATATAAATTACTAAATTTAAAAAGAAAATCTTTTATTATTTTTTTAGGTCACCTGCCTTGGTGGGATACGACTGGTTCGTTGAAAATATTAGTCGTGCCGAATAAGTAAAACATGTTATTTTGGTTTAAATAGCAACGCTGTTCTTGCCGAATAAGGCAAGCGAAAACTTGTGTATGTAATAATTTCACTAAAAAGCATTCTGAACCTAACGAAAAAAAATTTTTTTATTGTGTTTATTTATTAAATTATTGTAAACTTATCTAAAATATATTTAGCTGGATTATGCTAAATTAAATTGCGCTTTTTATAATAAAGTTAGACAAGGTTTCTAAGGTTCTTTTCTTACAAAATTATTAATTTTTACATTAACATAAATGAAAAAATGTATGTTTAAACGTATAAGAGAAGATTTTTAAAAAGGACATAATTTTAAACGAGATCTTGCTAATTGACCAATTTTATCAAATCAGGCTCTGCTAAGCATGAGAGGAAGCTTTTATAAGAATAATTTTTGTCACGGTGGGAACATGGAATATTCTAAGTGCAAGAATTAAACTGTCTTCCGAAGTTTCATTTTCACAAATGTCTTGATAGTATTCCAACAGCAACAGCCGATGATTAAATCGTTGAGAGAATTTTATTTGCAGATTTAACTTCGATTTAAGCTCCCAAGCTAAGGGACTGATCACTTCATTTTTCACTGTCTACTGTATATAGTTCAGCAAGGGTGAGGGACTGATCACTCACTACTGTCTTTTTTTATGGAAAACATGCTTTTTAAAAAAGTTTGGGAAAAAAATGTGCAAACAAAAAAAAATCAGGGTTTTTGCTCGTTTTATTTTTTCCTTATCTAACTGCATTTTTTACACCTTATTGCAAAAGATTTTTATAAAAATGTAGTTGACTTATTTTTTTGGTCGAAAAGGTTAATTTATGTATTTGGGAAATTTTTCCCTTTTTTATGGGACAATTTTTTCTGCGGTTGTTGTTTCCCTCCAAAACCCCCAAAACGATTTATCAAGTCGAAAATTTTAAAAAAACAAGAAATTAGACCACTTTCATTTTTGGACATTAATAAGCAGAAGTAAATTTGAAAAAAAAGGCAAAATTTTTTTTAAATATAAATAAAACCAACAAATTTGGACGCCCCCTTTTTTACTCTTTGACACAAAATAAAGGGTTTAATTTTTTGGGTTTTTTTTCAATTTTTAAATTTTTGGCGAAATAAAGATTTAAATTTTTTTTATGGGAAAAAAATTTTTTTGGGGGTGCATTTAAAAAAAGTTTCAAATCAGTAATTGGGCATTAGGTTTCAAACAGTTTTAAAATTTCGTTATAGGGAAATGTTTAAAAAATGGGATAAAAATTTTGGTTTTTTCCTTAACCCTTTTGCCGGCGGGGGGGAAACTCCCCCCATGAGAAAAAAACCAGATTTCCCCCACCAAAAACCCCCATGGGGGGCCTTTCCCAAAACCTCCCCCAAAAAATCCGAGGGGGGGCCCCCAAAAAACCC